CGCGTTCTAGCGAGGGTCCGGTGTATATTCTATACTAACTGACTGGTGTTTGGGGTTTTTTTTAGTAGCACAGGGGAATCTGTTTCTCTTGAGGGACTTGCGGGATCTACGGTTTTTGGGGGTGGGAGGGGGATAAAAATGCAAAAAAACAATGCAGGAGCAGGTGGGAGTGGGTATTGCGGGGAGGGACAGGATTAAAAAAATAGTCCCGCGCAGGGCTCTACTACCAGCTTCAGTGCTATGTCTGAGTCCTCCCCAATCTATCTGTGTAGCCAGTGGAGTGCGTATCTCCCCAGGCAATACTACAGGGCCAAGGTTGGTTCTGCTGTTGCTGCTATTCATGGCTTCTCCTGACTCTTCATCCCTCGCTGCCCAGAGAGAGAGCTCATTTGGAACAAAGCCGTGGTCTGTGGCAGGGGAGTTGCACTGAATGATGGGCTAGTTCCCAGATATCTTCCCCTGTTGGAATACTAAATTTGATAGGTTAGAAACAGAGGAAGGAGGTTCTGAGGAGAGAGAGGGAGACTACACATATAATATGATGGGGTCTAAATTAGCTGTTATCACTCAAGAAAGATGTTGGAGTCATTGTGGATAGTTCTCTGAAAACATCCACTCAATGTGCAGCAGCAGTCAAAAAAGCAAACAGAATGTTGGGAATCATTAAGAAAGGGATAGATAATAAAACAGAAAATATCACATTGCCTCTATCTAAATCCATGGTACATACACATGTTGAATACTGCATGCAGATCTGGTCGCTCCATCTCAAAAAAGATATATTGGAATTGGAGAAGGTTCAGAAAAGGGCAACAAAAATGATTAAGGGTATGAAACAGCTTCCATATGAGGAGAGATTAATAAGACTGGGACTTTTCAGCCTGGAAAAGAGACGACTAAGGGGGGGATGTGATATAGGTCTATAAAATCATGACTGGTGTGGAGAAAGTAAATCAGGAAGTGTTATTTACTCCGTCTCATAACACAAGAACTAGGGGTCACCCAATGAAATGAACAGGCAGCAGGTTTAAAACAAACAAAAGGAAGTATTTCTTCCCACAACGCACAGCCAACCTGTGGAACTCCTTGCCAGAGGATGTTGTGAAGGCCAAGACTATAACAGGGATGATAAAGAACTAGATAAATTCATGGAGGATAGGTCCATCAATGGCTGTTAGCCAGGATGGGCAGGGATGGTGTCCCTAGCCTCTGTTTGCCAGAAGCTGGGAATGAGCAACAGGGGATGGATCACTTGATGATTCCCTATTCTGTTCATTCCCTCTGGGGCACCTGGTATTGGCCACTGTGGGAAGACAGGATACTGGGCTAGATGGACCTTTGGTCTGACCCCGTATGGCTGTTCTTATGTTATGTTCATTTCCCACCCCACCCCCATTTATGCATGCACCCACACACTTTCTTCTTATCATTCCTTTCAGGTACTCCTTTTTTGTTTTTGTCTGTTTTGTTTTTTGAACCTTCCTCACATCCTCCCTACCAAAGGGATACGTTCTGAGCCATCATATCTTTGTGATGGTCCTTAAAGACTATGGAATTGATGCCTGGTCCTGAGCAGTGAAATCTGGGACATCGCAAATCCTGGTCCCATGAGTTCTGTTGCTGTCTAAGACTGAAGCACTTGAGACATGTGGCGTTTTTCAAGCAAGCAAGTTTGGGTGGAGCCGCACGGTAATACAGTCCAACAAAGGGGTGGCTGGGATGCAGTGAGATTGAAGATAGACAGGGGTTACTGCAGAGTCATTCACGTCAGTGAGCACTGGGAAGAAGTGGACACAGATTCCCTACATAACAGGGTCCTCCGGACCTCCGTGGGGAGAAAAGATCTGAAAGTTTCTGAGCCTCAGGTCTGGCTCCATTGATCCTTTCACTCTGCCACTCACCCATCTCTCTCAGGGAAGTGAATGTCCTCTGCACTTTGCTAAGATCTCAGAGCTGATGGGTAAATCCTGGACAGGGGTGATAGTAACTTAAAGGACTTACCGGTACGCTGGAGTCCTGAGCGGGGGCGTGACCTCAACCGGAAGAGGCGTGGCCTCAATCAGAAGAGGTGGGGCCTTTCAAGATTTAAAGGGCCCGGGGCGCCCCGCAGCAGCTGGAGCCCTGGGCCCTTTAAATCACCGCCGCGGAAGCTGGTCCAGTCCGGCATGGCATACTGGCTCTTGCCGGTATGCCGTACCGGACCGTACCAGCTTACTTTCACCTCTGATCCTGGAGAAAGGAGATTCCCTGATTCACTCCCCAGCTGGGGAAGATTCTGTCACCCACACGATCAAACCTGACACCAGGGCTGAGCTCTGCCCCTAACGCTCTGAATGTGTCTCTTCCCCCAGTGAATGTGACTCTGGATCCGGACACGGCTCATCCCCGACTCATCGTTTCTGAGGATCGGAAAAGTGTGAGGCAGGGAGACATCCAGCAGGATCTGCCTGACAACCCTGAGAGATTTGATTATGAGTGCTGTGTGCTGGGCTGTGAGGGATTCACCTCGGGTAGCCATTACTGGGAGGTGGAGGCGGGGGATGGGAAGTACTGGGCTGTGGGGGTGGCCAGAGCGTCTGTGAGCAGGAAGGGAGAATTCATGTCTAACTTAAACCCTAAGGTGGGGATCTGGGCTGTGAGGCTGTACGGGGGTCAGTACCAGGTTCTCACCTCCCCAAAGATTCCCCTGACCCTGAGGCGCGGCCCCAGCAGGATCCGGGTTTGTCTGGACTATGAACGGGGGCAGCTGGCATTTTTTGATGCTGAGAACCAGGCCCCAATCTTCACTTTCCCGCCAGCCTCTTTCACTGGGGAGAGAATCCACCCCTGGCTCTGGGTCAGGGGGGGGTCCCAGCTCAGCCTGTGTCACTGAGGCACGGGGGGAAATATCCCACTGAAATCAGAATCCCTAGTGTTTATGAGCTGGGAGGCTCCGTGGGGTCTCTGGACTGTAAACACCATAGAGAGCAGGATGTCATCAAGAAGAAGACGCCAAGCTCATTGCCCCCGTGATTGTTCAGTGTATTTGACTCTGTTCTGTATGATCCAGGAGGACTGTAGCCCAGAGACTGACAGCTGGGAACCCAGGGAAGGGGGAAGTGAAAAGGAAAGAGGAAAAGGAGGGTGACAGTGAAACTGGTAAATCCTATTGAAAGTGACTGCGTCATTCATCACACAGTTCATCCGCTTGCTGCTTTAGTTCATGAAAAGGGGGGCCTTAAAAATGCTTTGCACAAATTTTGGCCACTTTTTCTTTTCTCGTTATTAAATAATCCCTTCCGTGTTACATGACGGCCTCATATTTACGGTAAACAATTTTTGATAAATAGAGCGTCCTTGTCTGCTTGGTGTTTCTCTCATTTTCATGAGTTGTTTTTTTTTCTTCTTGTGAATTTTTTTTTGGCGGGAACAGGTAGCATCAAGGGATTTGAGCCCTCACTGATCAAAATGTCTCTAGGAAAAGCCTGCATGTGAATCAGATGGGTCTGTCGGCATTACAAAGTGATGCATTGCTTCTACACTCTGGGACTTATGATTTCACCGGGAAAAAAAGATTTGCTCAGGTTGTGGTCACATGTCAGTGTGCGCTTGTGACCCTTAAGCACCCCTGTATTCACACCCTGTTGTAATGATGTTTGTCCAAAAGTTCCTTGTAAGATATCATTTGAAAACTGATAGCATACTGGTCATCAATATCATTGTAAAATGCCTGTGTTAACCTTATATATGAAGTTATGAATTCCATCTGTACCATGTTACAGTTAAGACCGATGTTTAAGACCAGACAGCCTAACCTAGGTAAGAGTGTTTAAACAGGTCTGTCCTATATAAAAGAATGTGGGTTTACCTACATTTACATATTAGCCGTAAACAAAGCTATCACACTAAGGGCTTGTCTACCCTACAGGGTATGTCAGTATAAGGTATGGCACTCCGGGGTGTGAATAAGCCACCCCCCTGAGTGACATACGTTACACCAACCTAAGTGCCGGTGTGCACAGTGCTAGGTCGGCAGGAGCATTTCTTCCACTGACATAGCTACCGCCTCTCGCGGAGGTGGTTTTATTATGCTGACGGGAGAGTTCTCTCCTGTTGGCATAGTGTGTGTCCACCAGATACGCTACAGATGTGGCGCTGTAGTGCTTCTCGGGTAGACGAGCCCTAAAACAACAGCCCAAACTTGAGAGACTGAGAATTAATGTGGCTCCTGCACCCCAGAGAGACACACATGAAACTGAATCCCCAGAAGGCCTTCCTGACTTTGGGAACAAAGCCAGTTCCTTGGGAATAAAAGGGCCATCTTGATCTTTCAGCTAAGAAGACAAGGGAAACCAGCACCTCATACTTCTGTGAAAGGTCCTGACTGAGAGACACTCAGCCGTCATGGACAAGGAATAATTGGAGGGAGAAACCATCTTAAACAAAAAGTGTAACTTGCGAGATTAAGTTTTAGCCTTTTAGATGCGTGTTTTCACTTTTATTTGCTAGGAGCCATCTCTACATCTGTTCTTTTATTTAGCATCACTTAACCTATGTCCTGTTGTTAATAAATTTGTTCTAATTTAATCTAAACCACCCCAGTGCAATGTTGGGAAAGGACGGGAGGGGAAGATAACACTTCTTTACACAAAGAGTATCCCTTGGATCCCCACATTCCTTATGCAGCTGCAACGCTTATCAATCCTTAACAAGCAGAAGGGAACTTTATGGCAGGATGACACTTTATCAAGCAAAGGAACAGTGCATGCCTGTGCCTACTCCCTAATACTATGCCAGCACACCAGTGGTTTCCCAGGTCTCTACTTAACCCTTACATACCCCAACAGGTTGAAGTGACTATTATCACAAAGTCCAGTTGGTCTGGGAGGCAAGATACATTGGAGTCTGTAAGAGGACTGGCTGTGACTCCATGGTAAGACTGGGATAGCGATCCAGGAATTCACATTTGTCACTGGCTTGGTGAAATCTAATTATAGAACCCACCGCCAGCTTGGGGTATGTCTGCCCTGTTTTCTGACAGTCTGACTCGCCTTTGAGTTTGGTGTGTGTTGTGCATTATTGATACTGAAGTGTGTCTTTGGCCTCGATCCACAGTGGCATTTAGGTATTATGATTCGGGCCCAACCAGATTCACGGCCATGAAAAATGTGTCACGGACTGTGAAATCAGACCTCCCCGGTGAAATCTAGCTATTGGAGGGGAGGGGAAGGGAGTGGCAGGCTGGGGCGACCCAGCTGGGGGCTTCTACTTGTCCCCGGTGCCAGCTGCTAGTCCCCTGTAGGCTGGGGAGGGACAGGACTAGCAGCTAGGAGTCCCTAGCTGGGGAACTCCCAACATCACGGGGAAGATCAGGCCCCCCCACCCTCCCCTATCCACCTCCAGTAACCTCCTTCAGCTGCAGGAAGCTCTGAAGGCAGCAAAGAAGTGATGGTGGCAATCCTGTGACCCCACACACACAGCAGCTTTGCAACCCCCCCCCCCCCCCCCCCCCCACACAACCCACTTTTGGGTCGAGACCCTCACGGTTTACAACACCGTGAAATTTCAGATGTAAACACCTGAAAACGTGAAATTGACTAATTTTCAAATCCTATGGCTGTAAAATTGACCAGATTGGTCTGTGAATTTGGTAGGGCCCTAATTATGACACTGGGTATTGCAATGGCCTAGCGGTTAGGCACCTAGAAAATCACCAGCACCACCCCGTGATCCAAGAGAGAGGTGCCTTAGAACGGGATCCACAAAAGCCAGCACACTAGGTGGGGAGCCATCCTAGACAGCCACTGGGAAGTTCCAACAAGAGCTGCGGGTGGTCAAACTCCCACCCTTCCCACAGAGTTTTGGTGCTCCGCTAGTGATCCATGAGTGGGAACCCCTCTCCTGCAATCATATGGTTTAGGCATCTAAATTGTTTATTGTGAGCTTGAGCTAGGTGCCTGCCTCGCTCCCCGTAGAAGAGGAGGTGCCCACGGTATAACTTTTATCCCAGCGGCTCGTGTGCTCATCTGGGATGGAGGTGACCCCAGTTCTAGATCCCCTTCTCCCACATGGCTATAAAGGGCTCTTAGCTGCATGTTCTAACCACTGAGCTCGGGGATTGCCTGATGTAGGGCTCTCTCCTGTTGAAGCTATTCTGCTGTTTATAAATCACTTAAGTCCGCGGAGCAGGGGGACAGGATGCTGGGTTTCCCACCTCCAGGGGGGAGCCCCTAATCACCAGGTTCCAGAGTAATTCTCTCTTGCTCTGGCCCACTGTCTATTTAAGCATTTATCCACCATGGAGAGAGAGCGAGAAGGAGAGCCACAGCAGCATACCCCCATAGCCTAGTGGTTAGAGAACTGTCCTGAGACTACAGTTCACATCCTTGCTTCCCCTCGGGCAGAGGGGAAAATTGATGTCACCTTCCAGCTAAATGCTTTAACCACTGGGCTAAATGTTATAAGGTGGGCACCTCCATTTTCTCCTCCCTGTCCAGCCAGATTTTGAACGGGACCTGATCTGGAGGTGACCTCTGAGCACAGCTAGTGGCTCAGGCCCTGCATGCAAGCTAGGCAAGTGAATACCCGTCTTCCTCTAGTCTGGGGATCGCACTGGTTCTTAGGCAGGAGAGAGGTGTCCGGACACCTAGATTGAGGCAGCAGAGTGAGAGCCCAGCGGTAACAATTTAGGCACCAACTGAGTTTAGGCACCTAAAGGGTTCAGCTGGAATGCTGTGGATTACAGGGGAGCCTAAAACTGAGACTTAGTTGCCTAAATCGGGGGCTTCAGTACTTAAGTACCTTTGTGAATCTCACCCTTGCTGACTAAAACAAAATACCATTAAGGCTTTCTTCATCCAAAATAAGAGTGTTCACACAAGGGAGGTGAACCAATTTAGCTAGATTAGTTTAGAAGCTTATTAAGGCCGACACCGTTTTTGCCCTGCTTTAACTAAGTATAAAACGCAGATTTGGTTAAATTGGTGCAAGCGCTGGTGAGGATGAAGGTATACTAAATTAAAATTGTTTGTCTCAGTAGAGTTTTTCCCCCCAGTAGCTTTACTGAAAGCAGCTCTATTGATAAAAACACTTTGAGTTACCACAGTGTTTAAAAATGCTTAAATATTTTTAAGCTTTTGGTGGGAAAATACATAGTCAGTGGGAGTTGACAGCACTGATCACTGTGTAGAAACCAACCTTTAATAAAGGGTTTGAGACCCCAAGCCTGACAGAGGCTCCATGTGGGTTCAGGGCTGTGTCCATGGGGGGCTTTTTGGAGAATCAAGAGACTGAGCCTGGAGAAAGGGCCCAGATCTAGGGAGCAGCAGCAGAAGGATAAATGTGGTTGAGTGATGACTACAAATCACAAGCCGTACATTAACCAGGACGAAATGCAGCAGTGAGATTCTTCCCTTAAAGAAAACCTTCAGCCAACAGCCCCCAGCGACAGAGGAAGCTAATTTGCAGCAATGTATCTAGTGTATGCTGCAGCATAGCAACTGGCTCAAAGGCTGCGTCCCGTGCCAAGAGTGGCCCATGTGACTAACTGCAAACAGGCAGCTGTCTCCAGTCAGTGCTCTTCTCCCTCCACAGTTCAACTTCCTCTTTTGGGTCTAGGTGATCACCCCTTAGACTCTCATGAGCCACCTTAGTACCGGAAAAGACCAAGCCATGGAAGATACCAAGCATTAGCTGAGGGAAGCAGTGGAGACCAGGGGGTTAGAATGAGGCAGCCAGTCTGCACAGAGATCTGGTGAATGCTGGTAGAACTTTATCATGACTAGTAGAGGTTCAAGCAGCCTACAGTCGTCCAGGTCAAGCTCTGGCTGGCACTGAGAGGAGACCAGACACGACTCAACTGAAGGGAAGGAGATGCATCAGATCCCACCCCCTGTGAGAAGACCCAGACCAGATCAGACACACCCAGACTTCTTCCCCACTCTGACTGGTTATCAAGATTTTTTTTGCCCACTGTTATGCAGTCACAGCCAAAACCCTCCATAAATTTGCTCCATGGAACTTTACATAGACTTTAAAAGTGATCAGTTTGCCTTTTCTGGACAATATTTCATCCCAGTTAATGCTCTCTTGTCAAGCTGTACTGTGAGAGGCCACAGCTTTCATTTTCCAGGCGCTCTTTGCAAAGAAAGAGGCTCGAAAAATACTCTTAAAAATTGATCCACGATTCTCTCTTTACCAAACCGGGGCAATCAGCCAAGCGTGTGGTTTCTGAGGCTCACAGGCTTTGTGTTGTCTGTGGTTTGTTTTTTTCTCCTTACCCATGCAGGAATCATTCTGTTTTAGAAAATGGCGGCCTTCTCCTGGGTAATTGCCTGGAAATAACTGATAGAGATTTACATTACAGAGACAAGCTGGGGGAGGTAATATCTTTTATTGGACCACCTTCTGTTGGGGAGAGAGACGAGCTTTTGAACTTACGCAGGGCTCTTCTTTAGGTTAGATTTACATTGTTAACTCCAGCTGAATTAAATCTTTGCCTGTGAATTTAGGGTCACTCCTTGGACAGGTAGGGTTACAATTTGCACTAGAGCCTTCACAGGTTATAAACTTAATAGGGTCATTCCAAGCCAGCAAAAAGGTCAGCTCAAGGTAGGGCAACACCCACTTTCTGCTTCAGGTGGGAGTAATTCTAAACAAACTAAGTCTGTGACACTTTCCAGAAGGGGCCATGGCTGCAAAGAACCCTGTAAAATGAGGTCAAGAGGCCACTGCATGTTCCACCTGAGTGAAATGGCTTAAACGTCCACTGACTATCCACTGTGGGCAGAGTCTGCTAGGCCTGTATCTCCCGATTCTGAGGGGGGATCGGCTGCCAATGTCCCTGCTCGCTGAGCAGAGCAACCTTTCCCCAGGGAAACTTCAGCCCAAACGTGAAGGTAACAGAAATAGCCAAGTGACTCCATTTACAGGCAGCAAGAGGAGGAGGGGACCGTGTGTGAGACACAGCAGTAGGCTCTGAAACTGAGAGGAGGGGGAAACCTAGGTCCTTTCCCAAAGGCAACACCCAGGGGCAATGAAAGGTCCCTAAAAGTGTGTGTGGGGGGGGGGCACTGGGACCCAAACCATGCCCCCCCCCCCTCCCCCCTGAGTCCCCACCCCCACGCCACCCATTCCCCTGAGGTCCCACCTTCGTGCCACCCCTCCCCCAAGCCCCTGCCCTCACACCACCCCTTGCCCTGAGGTCCTGCCCCCTCGCTGTCTCTTCCCCCAGAGGCCCCATCTCCTGCTCGCTCTTCTCTGCCCCCTGCACCTCCCCATTGCTCGCCTTTACGGCTGGTAAAAAGCAAAAGATCATAGCCCTCCTACTTTTAAAAGTGATGGGACCGTGGCCCCCTGCCCTCCCCGTTCCAGCACCCCTGGCAACACCGTCTGTGGATCCCAGCGCCAACCCTGCAATAATCCCAGGGGCGGTGACCAGCCACGGCCCGGGCCAGCAGCCTGGGCACTCGGACAGCTACAGGACAGGCTGGGTGTGCAGGGGAATGGTTGACACGCAGAGCACTGCCCTTCATTGGCTTATAGCCTGGAATGGCAACAACAGCAGCCAATCAGAAAGGACATGAGGCCAACGGGCCTATAATTACCCAGGTCATCCCCTTTACCCTTTTTAAAAACTGGCACAACAGTAGCTGTCTTCTAGAACTTCCCCACTGCTCCACGACGTATTGAAAATCAACATTAACAGTCCAGTGAGCTCCTCAGCCAGCTCTTTTAAAACTCTTGGGTGTAAACCTGCCGATTTAAAAAATGTTTAGCTTTAGTAGCTTCTCTTTGCCATCCTCCAGAGATAGTGGAAAGAGTGTTACCATCACTGCACGGTGAGACCATATCATCTGATGCGCTAACCAGGAAACTAAATATCATGGCCCAGTTGTCAATAAACACTAATACAGAGAATTAAAGTGAAAACAAACAAGAAGTTTTTAATAAAAAAAAAAAAAAAAGTGTTGTTTACAACAAATAAATGTTGGGATTAAAAGGAGCGGAGAGGCACCTTTTAATACCAGAACGTATGGGAAAATATCCGTGAATTTTAAGACTCGTTTTATTGAAAGGCACTAAAATAACAATTTCTATTAACTAAGACAGTGGGTGCCACTTGAGAGCAATCACTGATACTAACAGTTTCTGGTTAATAGCAACATTTGGCAGGGAACCAGTCCCAACCTATTAACTTTAATGGTAAATGGCATTTGGAAACTGGCAACAGGTAAGCGCTGTATTAACAGCTTCATTAGAAGATAGGTCCTACCAGGAACCAATGGGATGGTTCTGGGGCTGCACAGCTGAGACTTCTGCATTGAGGCTGGGAGGCAGAGGTGATGTGTGGGAGGGGGCATGTGGGGTCACATGTCCCCCAGATTGTTTGGTCAATTGGTGTGGCTGGGCCTCCTCCTTGCGGGCAGCTGAGCATGGAGCAGGGAGAGGCAGAGGCAGGAGAAACAGCTGGAAGCTGCAGAGAAGGGGGGGATACCTGGAGGGGGGCGTGACTCGACCTGTTCTGGGGTTGTGCCTCCTCCTATCAGCAGGCACAGGTCATCTCTGCTGGGAGGGGAGGCTGTGGGCAGGGCAGAAATGTGGAGGGGGAGGGGTTGCACCCTGAATGCACCCCACAGTGTGGGGACTCCACGAGGGGCTCCCCAATTGAGTGGGGCTCCCCAGCCCATTACCTCCTGTGCAGGTGGCAGGTCCCCGGGCACAGGCAGGTTTGTGGGGGCTGCCACCAGGGATGGCACATGCCAGTGCTTCCTTCCCTGGTTGCATCCAGCCTTTCGCTTATTGGTACCTGCCAGAGAGTGGCACGTTTTGCTGGGAACCGAGAGTTTGCTAAGATGCAGCATCCACCGTCTATAGAATCAGAAAGCTAAAGTCTCTCTTTCCTTCTTTTGCTCGACCCATTTTAACCCTCCTTCCCCCCATTCTCTCTCATGCCAGTTTCCCATCCCTGTTTACTTCTGTCTCCCCCACTCTCCCCTATTATGGATCATTCCCCCTCGGATTCCTCATTCTTTTCCTGAATTTCTCTCTTCCCCTCAGGACTTTTCCTCTGTCTGGATCATTTTACTTTAGCTCTTTTCATTTTGATTTCCCCCTGGGATGGGCTGTCTACCCCCATCCAAGACTTGAAGGGGTTAAGGTGGCCAGGTGGGCCAATGAACCGCCCAGGCTACCCCTGGAGGTGGAGCCAGGGGGCAGCGATTAAGCAGATGATGCTCAGCTGCATGGGAAGAGGAGGGGCCTGTATAAAGCCAAGGAGCTGAGAGCAGAAAGGGGCTGCAGGGAAGCAGTCTGCAGTCACTCCCTGGGTGGGAGAAGAGAGGTGTGTTTGGGGCTATAGAAGTAAGCACCCTTCAGTTACTCCCTGGGAGGAGGGAGTTTGGGCTGGCAAACCCCTAGAGAGTTTGGGCTGGCAGGAAAGGCTCAGGGGAAAAGCAGCAAGGCAAATGACAGGGTGGGCCCGGGTTCCCCTACCAGCCACTGGCACAAACCAGGCAATGTAGAGCAGACCGCCTGGGACAATTTGCGTTGGAAGACTTGGGTACCCAGGAAGGGGGAGACCCACAAGGTGACCTAGCCGGAGGGCCAAGTTGGGGAGAAGGGGCAGCTGGAGTTGCAGAGACAGGGGGAGACTGCCAGAGAACATCCCAGCACCAAAGTGGAGCTATTAGGCAGAGGCACCCCAGTGGTGAGTGGACCCTGTAACAACCCCCCCTTTTCCTCTCAATTCTCCATATTGTCTTTTTTACTTTAATTCCTTTTCTCATTTCTTCTCTCCCCTCTGCCCTGTCCCTGCTACTCCCATCCCCACAGCCAGCTCACCCTCTCCAGGTGCCCCCACTGCAACTCCTCCCCAGGGCCCCAACGTCACCTTCTCCAGTCCCTATATCACCCTCCCCATCCCTTGGTCTCCCTACCTCAGCTCAGAGCAGAGGTTCTCAACCTGCAGCCCAATCAGCACACAGCTGTGGCCCATGTGACATCCTCAGGGCCAGGCACATGGTGTGTACATATATAGTGTGTGGATGCAGCCCACATAAGCTCTAGAGAGCTGCATATGTGGCCTATAATGGTAACTAGGTTGAGAACCGCTGGTCCAGAGCCACAGAGCAAGGGACAGACGGGGTGGCTGACCCTGGCTGCGATGGGATAGGCTTGTCTATGCAGATCACACCCCTCTATAGTTTTGACAGCCCAGACTAGACACACCGAGACATTGTTACTGCCAGGGTGACAGAGAAAAGGAGCCTGGGGGCTAGGAGAGATGGGAGTCCTCCAGGGTCACAGAGAGTGGGATGTTTAAGGCTAGAGCAGCTCATTTGATATGCTCTGATCTTACTGGGAGCAAACAGCCATACTGGGTCAGACCAATGGTCCATCTAGCCCATATCCTGTCTTCCGACACTGGCCGATGCTGCAGATGCTTAAGAGGAAATGAACAGGACCATTTTGAGCAATCCATCCCCTGTTGTTCAGTCCCAGCTGCTAGTAGTCAGAGGCTTAGGGACACCCGGAGCATGGGGTTGTGTCCCTGCCCATCCTGGCTAATTACCATTGAGGGACCTGTCCTCCCTGAACTTGTTTGAATTTTTTTATTCCCCTTCTCCAGGTCTCAGGCACACAGTCTGAGCTGGGACTCGGTTTCCCAGACCACAAAGAAAGGACGGATTCTCTCCCCAGCAAAAGAGGCCGGCGGGAAAGTGAAGATCAAGGATTCGTTATCGGCATTAAAAAATGCCACCTGCCCCTGTTTGTAGTCCAGATAAACCCAGATCCTCCTGGGGACCTGGCTCAGGGGCAGAGGAGTCAGGGGGTCAGTGAGAGCCCAGTACTGACCCTCCCAGTACTCCATAGCCCAGATCCCCCCCTCAGGGTTAAAGCTGATCTCTCCCTTCCTCCCCAGAGACTCTCTGGCCACCCCCATGGCCCAGCCCCCTCGCTCCCCTGCCTCCACCTCCCAGCAATGTCTCCCTGAGGTGAATCCCTCACTGCCCAGCACGCAGCGCTCGTAATCAAATCTCTTGGTCGTGTTGGGCAGTTTGTTCCATAGGCGTCCATATCTCACGGTTTTCCTATCCTCAGACAGGACGAGTTGGGGATGAGCCGTGTCTGGATCCAGAGTCATGTGCACTGGTGGGGGGAGAGAATCAAAACATTAGGGGCAGAGCTCAGCCCTGGGGGAGGCTGGGGCCATTTCTCCCACTCCCCGGAGCAGCCCCGTCCTGGCTGGGACAGGCCTGGATCCCCGGGAGCTGCCTCTGCTCTGGGCACCTGAGACTGAGCAGAAATGTCACTGCAGCTCCTCGGTCAATGTAATGGGAACAACTTCTATAGGCTCATTTGTTTTCTCCCCCTGCCGGGGCCGCTCCATTCTCGCTGCAGTAACACAGCAAGGAAGGCAGGAGAAGCTGTTAGCGAAGACGTAGGGAGAGCCGTCAGGCGACAGCTTTGAACCCCAAAGGGAAGTGCCCTCCCCTAAATGTGTCCTCCACTCCCTGGGCAGGGAACAGAGATGAAAAGGCCATACAGAACCAGTGAGTAGGACGCAGGAGGCGGCATAGGCTGAGGTAGCTCCATTCCCAGCCCAGAGAGAAGGGGGCATCGTCAGAGGGAGAGCATCCTCCCCCATCCATTAAGCAGTGAACTGCTCCAATGGGAGAGCCCAGCCCTGGCCACAGGAAAGGGAGGATGTTGGAGAAGAACCATGGAGGAGACCAGGGGAAGGATGTGGCAGCCATGAGAGGACAGATCTTGCTACTCATTCCTCTGCATTTAATAAGAGAAGCGCATGTCAATGACCATCCAAATGACAGGGGTCAGAGTTAAGGGTGTTGGGTGCTGGGCTGGGAACAGGTGTCTGGTTACTGGTGTGTGGGAGAGTTGCTTCCATGGGATTTCTCTGAAAAATTGAAGGAAAATCTCCACCAGCACTTACCGTTGGCGTGTGATCCCAAATATTTTCCCCTTCCCTGCTCCAGTTCAGATGGCAGAGTGTCTGGAAGGGAAAAGAGGGAAAGAGATTACAGTTTATGCTGCCTGATTTATAATGCAGCCTCAAGCAACTGCCTCTCTGGCCTGGGCCTCTGAGGCTGAGCACGGATGCCCTGGCAGTTCCTGCACATGGGTGAATGGGAGTGGCAGCTGCAGAAGTTGCCTCTGTACTTCCTTCCCAGCTGCATCCCGGTCTCTCCACACGTTCCTCTGATTTGAATATTTTAAAAAATCATTTGAATGTCTATGGAAATCTCTGGGGACAGAGTTAAGGGTATTTGGTTCCTGCTCAGGGACAGTGCTTCTGTTCACAGGTGTGTGCATGGACTCAGCATTAAGATTTATGTCCACATTGTTCGTGTGATTTCAGCTTGGGCTCTCCTTAGACCTGACTTTTTTTTTAAAAAATATATATTTTTAGGGGTGTGTGTTCCATTTTTAATGCTGGTTAGGTTTGTAACAGTGGCGACGCATTCATGAATATCTCACAATCACATTCACAAAAAGGTAATCTCTTTCTGAAAACTCACCCTCTCTCTGTGATCCTAGGCATTTCCATCCTTTGCTCTCCAGCTCCGACGGCAGAGTGTCTGGAGGGTAAAGGACAAGAGAGATTTCATACTGTTGTGTTTCTAACGACACCCCCACACTTAACTGACAGAACCATGTTTTTGATTATATGAGAGAGAGAGAGAAAAAGACAGCGGGATGGAGACACACGCAGATCTTTAATAAAAGCTAATCTGAAACCTATTTCTTCTTTCATTCTGGCATCTCAGAACAATGGACCCAACCTCCATTCAGCCTAACCACCATTGTAGGACAAATTATCTATGCCATACGGCAGTGGTTCTCAACCAGGGGTCTGCGTACCACAGGTATGTCAACTCATCTAGGCATTTGCCTCGTTTTACAACAGGCTACATAAAACGCACTGACTAGCGAAGTCAGTACAAACTAAAATTTCATCCAGACAAAATGAGAAAGGAAGCACTTTTTCAGTACTAGTGGCTGTGACACTTCTGTATTTTTATGTCTGGTTTTGTAAGCAAGTCGTTTTTAAGTGAAGTGAAACTTGGGGGTAGGCAAGACAAATCAGTCTCCTGAAAGGGGTACAGTCGTCTGGAAAGGTTGAGACCCACTGCCATACAGGGCCTAGGACAGAGGAAGAGAGATTTACTGTCTCCCCTTCCCCCCCCCCCCATCTGCTCCCCTTCCACCCTCCAAACCCCAGTTGATTTGTCTCATTCTCCTTTTGCATTTTGTCAGAACCTAGACCCAGAGCACGGCAAGACTTCAGCATGAATTAAACTTTAGGTGCTTTGGTCTCTTTGACAGCACTGGAACGGCGAGCTTTAGCAGGACCAGGCCCTTCAATTGTAATTTGGGTTTATTTACTCAGCATCTCTACAAAGCTCTCAGCACAATGGGGACCCTCGTGCTCCAAAGACAAATAAAAAGGAAATTGCTTGGTGAATGTGGCACCTAAGGCAGGGAGAGGGTTGGCTCACTGAGCTAGATTCACCCCGGCTCCGGCAGAGGGATAGAGAGGAGGCAACGCGTGACTCCTCTAGATTCAGGGGCTGGTGCAGATGTAGGCCCCAGCTAGGGAAGTCCTGAGTTCCAGCAAGACCTGGGTCAGTGCCCCTTATGTGGTTCGCAAGGGGGCGGAGTGTAAGATGCACTTTGGCCACACCCTTTAACCCTGACCCACCCCCTCCATCCTCCTCTTACTAACCCCAGGACTGTGCACCTGCAGTCACCGTAAATCAGCGGCTCTCAACCTTTCCAGAGGGCTGTACCCCTTCCAGGGGGCTGATCTGTCTGGCCTACCCCCAAGTGTCACCTCACTTCAAAACGACTCGCTCACAAAATCAGACATAAAAATACAAAAGTGTCACGCTCGTACTGAAAAATTGCTGACTGTCTCATTTTTACCATATAATTATAAAATAAATCACGGGGAATATAAATATTGTGCTTGCATTTCAGTGTACAGTCTATAGAGCAGTCTAAACAAGTCATCGTCTGTCTGAAATTTTAGTTTATACTGACTTCGCTACTGCTTTTGATGTAGCCTATTGTAAAACTAGGAAAATCTCTAGATGAGTTGATGTACCCTCTGGAAGACCTGTGTGTACCCCCAAGGGTATATGTACCCCTGGTTGAGAGCCACTGCTGTAGAGGATGCACAAAAGGTTCCCTTACTGGGTGGGGTCCCCAGGGTGAGAGGGTTTTACACCTTCCCTCCAGCCTCTTTGCCCCACATGAGGCCAGAGCACAGGGCTGGACCAGCCCCAGCTTCAAAAGTGGAACCAGGTCTGAATCTGAATCATTTTGAGTGGAAAAACATGGCCGCTAGGGACCGGTTAGTGGTTTTGTGCACTTGCTGCTCCCACTGACTCAAGCAGCAAGTGTGGATGCCGAGCCGCTCAGGGAAGCGAGCCCTGCAGTTCTGAAGTGGGGCAAGATAAACAGAGGGGCCCACCATTTTTTTGCTCTATTTTTACATTAATGATCTACTGAAGATCACAGAGTGAATCAGACAGACATCCTGGTGCCTTGGCCCCTGCTATGTCTGCTCACTTTGTCTAGTTTCCACTGTTCATTAAATAGACAGGATCTCATTGGGCTCTGGTCAATTGGTTCCTATCTCCTCCCACAGTCAGAGACGACTCCTGATTCCCCTCCTAGATCCCATCTTCCTGATACCTTTGAACTGCCTCAGAGTCTCCATTAAAGCAACATTTTTATGAGACAAAACACTGAGTCTCTTTTCCAGGTCAGGAGAAGTTTCCACCGGCTGCTGGAACTTCCACTTCTCACACCTGGAGAGAAAAAATTTCACATGATTATCTTTCATTTAGCGACTTGTCATAATTTCTTGCTAGTGAAAGCTGCTGCTCTAAGATTGCGAATTCCTCGACTTCTCCCAGCCTCAGAGCAGGTGCAACGCAGGTCATGGCAACGCAGTCTTCTCCCCTAAAGAGCACATTATTATATTCTTTGACTTTGGCCTGGAGAGACCAGCTCTGGGGGAAAAAATGTAACATAAGAATGGCCATACTAGGTCAGACCAAAGGTCTATCTAGCCCAGTATCCTGTCTTCCCACAGGGGCCAATGCCAGGTGCCCCAGAGGGAATGAAAAGAACAGGTAATCATCAAGTAATCCATCCCCCGTTGCCCATTCCCAGCTTCTGGCAAAAAGAGGCTAGGGATACCATCCCTGCCCCTCGATGAAGATAATTCTCCATGGCCAATTCACTCCTTGGCCTCCACATATTATTTCCCATATACTTAATGTTGTATTTGGGGGGGGGGGAACTAGATTGAGCCCCCTATTCCCTTCAAGCCAGTTCATTCCCCCCCAGGTTTCCATACACTCCTGAGGCACTAAAGCCTCTTAATGACTGCTGACCTGGTTTGAATTATACCCAGCGCCCTAGAGGTGAAAGGCCCATATTCCATCGCCAGAATCCCGAGGCAGCCAGTCCCCCAGGGATGTGACCTCTTTGGGAAATATTTTAGGATAATCTTACCCACTGAACAGATAATTCCAGAGTCTGGTATAAAAGGGTGAGAACCTCAGGATTAAGTTTAGCAGAGAAATTTGTATTCAAAATGTGACCCGTCCCCACGCATTCTGCTGTAGAGCCCCGGGGAGAAGTGGTGCTAACATGGGCCCCACACCCTTTCCCAGCAGTGTGAAACACAAGGGGGAGTGAGGGAGAGCCACGTACCTGCTCAAGGTGCTTCTGACATCCTAGAGGGGAAAGAGAGAGAAAGAATCTCAGTCCCACCTGACGCGTGCTGGGGATCCCAGGGCAGGGATTTTGCAAATCTGGGAAAAAGAGGCCGTGTCCTGCCCCAGAGCCCTGGATTCGCTGAGCTTATGGGGCTTTGCCATCTCTAATATTTATGTGTCCGTAACAATAATGATTCTCATTCCAGCAATGCACACAAACCGTTACACTGTGATCTCTGACTGCTGGATTCTAATGGACATGATTCAGGAGTTGTCCTGTCCCTGCGCATGGATCGGGGATGTTTTAAACTCAGTCTCACCTGCAGGAATTCACTCGCTGGCTTCTGACACTTCCCCTCCATCTCACAGATCAGCTCACTGAGATGGGAAATCTCCTCGGAGAGTTTGGTGACATTTTCATTCTGGATCCTCACAATCTCCTCGTCCAGCTTCTCCAGCTGGGCCAGCAGGAGTCGCTCTTGTTCCTCCAGGAACTGCCGCAGTTGCTGAAATTCAGACACAATCTTCTGCCTCTCGGTTTGTGTTTGTTTCTGTATAAAAATAGGGAAAGGGCTGGTCAGGGACACGGATGGAGCCCAGGGTCCTTTCATGGAGTGCTGAGTGTGCAGGAGAGAGAATATATCTGTAAGCAAGAAGATTTCTGACACTTGACTCTACCGTGTGCTAAGAAGAGGATTCTCTCACACCTGCCCCTCTGGCCCCGATATCTCTTAAAGGGACATTTCTATGTCTGACATGGTCAGGCTATTGTGTGATCAGTGGCCTCTCAGAATCCAGAGCAGCAGGAGACAGGACTAGTCAGCACTACACTGACGGAGAGGCCAGGGGAGAAAAAAGAATCAAACATTTGAACAAGGCAAGACACGGCGGCAGGCTTGGGCAGCCGGCACTGCATGGTGTTCGTGTCAGTTCAGCTTGGGAGGATCTTTGGGAGAGGCATGTGAGCCGAAAATTAACTCGTAAATTGGAATGGAAGCTTGGATTCTGCAGAGAACGACGTGTTCCTGCACCGGGGAGATTATCTAACAGCAATCCGCGATCATGGAGAAACACACACATACATACACACAAGGCCACGTCCCCCGAGGCCACAGCAGAACTTGCCTACAAACGGGCCTCCCACCCAGGAGCAACGGAAGCTTCTTAAAAGGGGGGGGGCCCCACTGGCGCCTGAACTGTGGCACCGCCCCTCTGAGGCCCCAGCCCTTTTCCCCCAAACCCCGTCCTGCCTCTTTTCCCCCCCAAGGCCCTGCCCTTGCACTGCCCCTTCCCCTGAGACCCCGACCCCACGCCACCTCTTCCCCCCACTACCCCATTTAGAAGCGGTGGGCCATGGCCCCCTGGTCTCCCGTGTTCCGGCACCAACTCCGGTTCATAACAACAGGCACCTACCAGATACTCCCGGCTTTTCCCCTCTCCAGTCACTTTAAATCCCAGCAGCTTTTCTCTCTCTTCCGTCAGAGTCTTCAAATGGTCCTGGATTTTTTCCTGAAGAAACAAATTATTTGAGTGTTTTTATTGTGTCTGTCTGTCTGTGTGTATAAAGAGAGAGACACACACACACAGACAATGAGCGGTGTGCGTGGTTTCCATCCAGACCCCAAGATTCTTGTAGCTGACTGTCGGTCCGAATAGGTTTATAACATCAGGGCACCAAGGAAAAGAAACCTCATTAACGGAGACTGGGAGGGTGTCCTATTCAGCCTCTTTGGAATTATCTGTCCCCTTCCTGCCCTGAGTAAAACAGCAGGAAACTGGGAGTCGCATGGCGGTGAATCAATGAACCTATTTTTGAGCAGGTTTAACTAACAAAGGGACACAAATCCCAGAAGCCACCCGGGCTTGAAATATGGGCTGGGGTTCTCCAAGGAGCCCAACTCCCAATTGAATTTCAGCCCTGAACCCCTGGGGACATAGGCTCTGACTGCATGGGTGCTCCAGGGCTGGAGCACCCACGGGGAAAAAATGGTGGGTGCTTAGCACCCACCGGCAGCCCCGCTATCAGCTCCCCCCTCCGCCCCAGTGCTTCCTGCCTGCTGGCAGGCCCCATGGATCAGCACCTCCCCCTCCCTCCCAGCGCCTCCTGCCCGCTGCAATAAACTGTTTCAAAGCGTTCAGGAGGCTAGGAAGGAGGGGGGAGGAGCAAGGACAAGGCATGCTTGGGGCAGGAAGAGGCGGTGCGGGGGTGGGAGGAGGTGGGTTGGGGCCTTGGGGGAAGGGCTGGAGTGGGGGCAGGGTGTGGGGCAGAGCTGGGGGTCGAGCACCCCCCGGCACTTTGGAAAGTCAGTGCCTGTGCCTGGGGATTGGACAGAACTGGTCTGAGCACTAGGGCAAACCCCATTAGATGCGCTGATTTTTATTAAGCGCCACTGGAGTTTGCCCTAGGGTTGTCCAAAACCCTTTCAGTGGCAGTGCCCTCCGGGTAGCTACCCCACAGCCAACAGCAAAGTGCCCAGAAGCAGTGGATTCTGGGAGGTTTGTAAATTAGACACTGTGGGAGAGCAGCAGAAGACTAATGGAACCATTCTGGTTAGTCGTTCAGACCCAGGGGTTAGTTTTGCTACAATCCAGTCTAATCCTAGAGGTATTTGGCATGGACCTGCGCTGTCTGGAGCCCTTTTGTGTGTGGACTCAAGGTGCTCGGAGTCCACAAAGCATTTAGCCCAGTGATCTCCTCTAGTGCAGGCCGGCATCTGAGTTTAACCCCTCATGGAGCAACACGGGAGTTCAGAATCCCAGTGGGAAACCACCTCTCCCTGCTGGGCCTGGGCCCTTTATGAAGGTGTCTTTCCCTCCTAATGACCATACTTTATCACTGCTGGGGTGGCAGCGTGGTCTAGTGGTTAGAGCTATAGACTGGGTCTGGGGAGACCTGGCTTTTATTCCCAGCTCTGCCACTGAGCTACTGGTGACATTGCACCAGTCACATCCTGCCTCAGTTTCCCCACCTACCCTTTGTCTATTTAGGCTGTAACCTGCTCAGGGCAGGGATTGTCCCTCACTGTGTTTTGTGCGGGGCCCCAACACCATTGAGATCAGATCTTGTTTGGGGTCTGTGAGGGCTACTGCGATGCAAACAGTCATAACAAATGCTACGATACAAATCGGTAACAACCACAGCTTGTAACTTCCCCTTCTCCAGTCTGACGGCAGCACTCTCACATCCAGGGACCTCTCCCTCCTGTGATTTCAACTTCACTCACTGCTCATTCCCTTAGTTCACCAGTGGGAGCTGATTCTGCAAAGGATTCCACTTCTCTGCAGCCACGGGACACCCAAGTTCAAACCACCCCAAGAATGGACCAAGAACCCTGCCCCAGATCCCCATGCAACAGACCAGTTTCGAAGGAAGCCTGTGGATTTTAGAACACTTGGAAAAACGCACGATTAAACAGCGAGTATAGCAGAGTGCAGCCTGCACTAGAATGTCCTGTTTGCCTAAGTGTGAGCTCTGGGAGGTTCCACCCACCCTCCCATTCTAAAGCCATAGGCACCAACGCCCCGGGGTGCTCCGGGGCTAGAGCACCCACGGGAAAAAAAAAAAAAAATAGTGGGTGCTCAACACTCACCAGCCACAGCTGTTTGACGGCTCAGGGAGGGGCTTGGGGGAGGACAGAGAGCAGCGAGCGGGCAGGGGTCTGGGGGAGGAGGCAGAGTGGGGGCGGGAAGAGGCGGAGCAAGGGTGGGGCCTCAGGGGAAGGGGCGGAGCAAGGATGAGGCCTTGGAAGAAGGGGCAGAGTGGTGGCAAGGCCTCAGGGCAGAGCACCCCCAGGGAAAAATAAAAGTCAGCGCCTGTGGCTAAAGCCTCTGAAGAAAACAAAAGACCTTATCAAAAGGCCCAGGGACACCTCAGCATAATTAACCAGGCAGTGCTGACAAAATAGAGGGCTACCTGTGACCAGGGCTCTTGGCAATGCAATGCTAGGGATAGAGTTGGCTGCTGGGAAAGGAAATCTGAAACCTGGGCGAATGCGCGGCTCCGAGAGGCTCAGAGAATTTCACTTCCCCAGGAGGAAATTCCTATTAGCCTGGAAAGGAAAGGACTGAATTTACCAGGATCCAGGTGGTTTCCTACCTTGTACTTCTGGCCAGCCTCCTCTATGAGAAGCACTGTGTGAGATCTGTGCTGGAGGGATCTCTCACAAACCACACACACGGCCTCCCTGTCCTCTTCACAAAACAGATCCAGGGTCTTTTTGTGCCTCGCGCACACAGCCACGTGTTTCATTTTTTCCACGAGGTTTCCCAGCTGCCAGTTGGGCCTGAGGTTCCCTTTCAGAATTTGGGATCTGCAGACGGGACACATCAGGGATCCGCGTCCCGCCCATTCCGCACAGTACTGGGTGACGCAGCCTCGGCAGAAGTTGTGCCCGCAGTCTACGCTCACCGGGTCGGTCAGGTACTCCAGGCAGATGGGGCAGATGACTTCCTCTTGCATGTCCAAGCCTGAAAGGGAGGAGGCCATGGCTGTTGGGGTCTCCAGTCTCTCTCTGATCTCTCTTCCTCTGGATTCTGCCTGTGGAGGGCAGGAGAAGCTCGGTGAGAACCACGCAAGGGAAGGGGAATGGCTGGGAGAAGGTGAGGAAAGCAGGCGTGGGAAGCAGGTATCATAGGCCAGGGCAGGCTAAGCCTCCCCGACCCCGGCTGTGGCCCTGCCCATGTTGCGCCCCGAGGCCCCGCCCGCCCTCCCCCTCTACCTGAAGCTGGCAGGGGCTCAGCTCCAGCTGGTGGCCCTGAGCTCAGGCCCACCCATGGCCAGGGGCAGCCCGGGACACCACTGGGGCCAGCCGGGGGGAGGGGCCGGCTCAGCACTCAGGGTGGGGGGGCAGCTGAGACAGGTGGGCTGGGGCTCCTCCAGATGGGGGCGGGGGGGCGCTTGGGGCTCTGGCATGCAGTGGGGCGGGCTAGCCTCTCTGAAGGGGGGGCTCACCCATCCCCCATGAAAGCAAGATAGGAATGGAGAAGAAAAGCCAGTAATACCCAGATGGGGACTGCTTCTTCCCCACTCCCTCTGGAGGGGTGGGCGTCTCTCCATAGCAGGGGGCCGTTCCTAGCCCTCCATGACAAGCCCGGTTTCCCCTCCTGCAAACCTAATTTGTGTCCACACTGGCTCTCTCCATTCCCCAAAGCCAAACTGATCTGAGCCCCTTTCCTTTGAGTGCACAGAAGCACCCCCCTGAATGTAACGGACTCGCGAACACCCTAGCACAGAGCTTGCTAGCACCTCTCCCAGCTGCCTGGACACAGAGCGCTGAATTCACCCCCACCTCTGAGCCCGGTTGGTGTGGCCCCTGCGTTGGAGCTGCTGGGTGTTCAGCCTGAACGCTGCATTTCATCCCCCTCTGCATTAACAGGCTGCTGGACTAGAGAGCGATTCGCCCTTTGGCTCTGGCCCAATTACATTGGAGCAGGGACCAGTTCTAATTTGTGGCTCTGGACCTTAGAAATGATGGCTGTTAAACAGTATGCAAGGCTCTACCTTCACTAGAGCAGAGCTCCCAGGCTGCTACAATACACATAGAGGATCTAATATATATATGCTGCTATAAAACACAATAAGTGTAGTGATCATTTAATATGTTTTAAAAAGCTCTATGCAAATGTTTAATTATCACAATTAAATTGTGCTTGAGTAATATTTTTAAAATGATGTACACTGATCATTAAAGTTGCAAGGGGGATTTTGATAAAACTGAGCAACAGACCTGCGGGAATACATTTATCCAACTCTTCTACAGCTGTATTAATATTCTGTGCAACACTAGCGCAGTCCGCTCATGGACCTTGGCGCATTCTCCATCTGGGCATTATTACTATCTTCTCCTCTCTGTTTCCATGATTGCCTCGCTTTACAGAAAAGTTTTTCATATGCTTGTTTGCATACAGCTCCCCGATGCACCTGACCTACTCAAATGATGTCTCTTTTGTCAGCTTTTGTATTTATACACAGTGTTTCACACACACAGGCCGACCACAGGGGACAAAAAGGACCATCACATCAGGATTTCCACTCGAGCCCAGTTTCAAACACCACCTAAAAATACACTTGAAATAGGGTGACCATCCGTCCCGTTTTTAAAGGGACAGTCCCGTTTTTTTGGGACTTTCTAATATAGGCGCCTATTACCCCCACCCCCTGTCCCGTTTTTTCACAGTTGCTATCTGGTAACCCTAACTTGAAATAAAAGGGCATTAAAAAGGTATGTGAAGTTTCTCACTGAAAGGCCCTGTATGTTGAACTTTCACTTTATTTAATACATTTTGGAACTCCGTTCTAATGATGGAGCCAGGACCAACACCTCCAGAATAATAATGGTCCAAAGTAAATATTGGATCCCCACAATCTCCCAGAGAGGGGCATGCCTGTTAATCCGCTCGAGAGCGATACAAAGATGGGTCAGTGATCGTGAATCCCAAGTATAGTAGAACCTCAGAATTACAAACACCTCGGGGACGGAGGTTGTTCGTAACTCTCAACGAAATGTTATGGTTGTTCTTTCAAAAGTTTACAACTGAACAGTGACTTAATACAGCTCTGAAATTTTACTCCGCAGAGGAAAAATGCTGCTGTTAACCATCTAAATTTAAATGAAACAAGCACAGAGGCAGTTTCTTTACTTTGTCAAATCTCTTTTTTTTTTTTCTTTCAACTTCCCCTTTATTTTTTTAGTAGTTTAGTTTTAACCCACCACTGCCCTGTATTTGCCCTTTTTTATGTTTGTCTCTCCTGCTGCCGCCTTTGACTGCGTACTTCCGGTTCCAAATGAGGTGTGGGGTTGACCTGTCAGTTCCTAACTCTGGTGTTCAGAACTCTGAGGTTCCGCCCTAAATGGGCTCAATGCAGCACAAATGCAGGGAGTGGGGGAGGTGAAATTCACTTGTGGGGCCAGGGTATGGGACTCCAGCGCAGCCCCTGCCCTAGATTCTGGACTACAGTAAGGCCTGCCCTTCTGCACTACTTGGTGCTATGGGAGACCCCTTCCACCGTGCAGGGGGGCTGGGGAGCTAATTCCCTACTGCAGAGCAAATGCCTCTCCTTGCATCCCTGCACTCTGGAGGATTTAGTGCTGGTTCTCCAAGTGCTGGCTGGATATCCCCCAGAGCATGAACAAGTACTCAGGAGGAGATCCCCGCTCCTTGGCCCTGTGCTCTGGCCACTAGGTCATACTGCTCTCCCTCTCTCTCTCTCTCTCACACACACACACACACACAAGACTAACAAACAGAAACAGATCGAATGATTAAAAGAAGAAGAAGAAGAATATAACTCCTCCTACCTCAAATGTCTGCGAGAAACATTTCAGCTGTTCCCGGATCCTGGGGGTGTTCCCAGCTCCCCTGCCTTAGAGAGACAATGAATCAAGGGGATTCCTGTTTGATAACATAGTCTGAACTTTAGTCCAAGCTATGCACAGTTTCAGAGGAGAGATTCAACCCAGTGCTCCTGCAGCGAGAGACACCAAATGCTACAGTGCAAGGGAAGGAAACATCCAGGCGTCACATGATGTTAGTGTCGGGAAGTGGAAAAGGCCAATTCCTTTCATGGACAGGAAGGAGGGAGGCGTGACTGTAACGCTGCGAGCCAGTGATTGATTTGAAGTCATCAGCCCTGCCTCACCCAGATCAAGCGGGAGCTGAGTCCGAAGAGGGTTTTTACTGATTGTTTTTGACCAAGTGTCTCTGGCAAGAGAAGGGGACAATCAAGGGCAGCGGAAAGGCTGGGTGGAACAACCGGATCGGAGGCTAGATTTGGGGCTGATTTTAATCTGGATTACTTTACAGTCAGGGGTAGGGTGACCAGATGTCCCGATTTTATAGGGACAGTCCCGATTTTGGGGTCTTTTTCTTATATAGGCTCCTATTACCCCCACCCGCTGTCCCGATTCTTCACATTTGCTCTCTGGTCACCCTAGTCAGGGGGCCTGGAACAATTTGTACAGTGAGGGGGCTGAGAGTCATCGAACCAAACTGTAAACCCTGGATATGATGGAAACCACTTGAAGCCAGGGGGTGCGGCAGCCCCCCCTAGTTCTAGCACCTATGTTTGCAGGCCAGTCCCTTGTGTGGCAGGGTTAAGTCCCCCTTGGGAGTTTCTCGCAGCCTTAACTCTGGATCTCTGAGATTTCTACAGTTACCAAGGGGTTGGATCAACGTGACAAGGTGCCGTGTGACAAACAGTTCCCGCCCTCTCCTTCTCAGCTGGCTACTTTGCTGAGCATGCTGGCCCAGTGCCTCTCAACCTTTCCAGATGACTGTCCCCCTTTCAGGAGGCTGATTTGTCTTGCCTACCCCCAAGTTTCCCCTCACTTCAAAACGACTTGCTTACAAAATCAGACCTAAAACTACAAAAGGGTCACAGCCACACTAGGACTGAACAGTGGCTGACTGTCTCATTTTTACCATATAATTATCAAATAAATTGACGGGAATATTGTACTTACATGTCAGTGTACTGTATGTGGTGGGCTATGTAAGGGTTAAGTCGAGACCTGGGAAACTGCTGGTCTGCTGACATGGTATTAGGGGTAGAAGCACCGGCAGGCACCACTTCTGCACTTGATCAGGGCCGCCCAGGGGGCAAGTGGGGCAATTTGCCCCGGACCCCCAGGGGCCTCCATGAGAATATAGTATTCTATAGTATTGCAACTTTTTTTTTATGGAAGGGGCCCCGATATTGCTTTGCCTCAGGCCGCCTGAATCCTCTGGGCGGCCCTGCCACTTGATAGATAAGTGCAGGCACCTCTCCTCACTTGATAAGTAAAGTGCTACCCCTCTCCCTCCCCTTCTCCTTGTTAAGGATTGATAAGCGTTGCATCTGCATAAGGAATGTGGGGATCTAAAGGATACCTTTGTGTAAAGCAGTGTGATCTCTCCCCTCCCTTCCTAGCTACATAAACGAGCTCGGGGTCATGGCCCCCTCCTCCCTTCCCTGCAAACTGTTGATCAAGGCTGCAATTACTGCAAAGAAATGTATCTTCAAGGTAAAATTATCTGTAGAATATACTAATGCTGTAAACAGTAATCAGGGGTGGGGATAATTATATTCAATATATAGCTATTAATATTCATTGTATGGGCGTTCATGTTACTCAATAAGGGTTTTGGGGATGTATGTAGGTATTTACATACTAACTTAGATAAAAGGAGTGTGCTGTAACTAATTCAGTGCTTACTCAACAATTGGGTCGAGGGGAACAAGTACCGTAATAAAAAAGCCCGTCTACTCAATTTGCCCGGGTCAGCCTGCGCATTGTATATAGACCACAATAAACAAGTCATTGTCTGTATGAAATTTTAGCTTGTCCTGATGTCATTAGTGCTTTTTATGTAGCCTGTTGTAAAACAAGGCAAATATCTAGATGAATGACATACCCCCGGGAAGACGTCTGTGTACCCCCAGGGGTACGCGTACCCCTGGTTGAGAACCACTGGCCAAGACATCCCAGTGCATATTCGGATCCCAGGGCCCAAAATGGCAGACAAAGCCGCTTTAACAACGCTGCACGTAATGGCAGGCTCGCCGTAGAAAGACTTGGGGGTCCGCAAGACAAATCAGCATCTGGAATGGGGTACAGTAGTCTGGAAAGGTTGGGAGCCACTGGGCTAGGCATTGGGCATCTCGGTGCTTTAAAATCACCAGACATGCCAACTCTCCTGAACTGATCACGGGAGATGTGATTTCTGAGCAAAATTGAGCCTCACTCATGATCATACGACGGAGTTCTAAAAGCGAAATCCTGTCAGCCGCCCGGGGCATGGCGGGGCCTCCCGCTGTCAGCCCCGGGGCAGCTGCTCCCCTGCCATCCTGGGAAGTGGAAGAAGTTACCGCCCTGCAGCCCTCCCCCCCCCCACCGCCGCATCAGGCCTGGGGAGGGTGAAGAACCCTTAAGGAGCAGAGGTGAGGCTGGGAGCAGCAGGAGGGCTGAAGTGAGGAGAGTGGGGGCTGATGGGCTGGATGGCTGGAGGGGTCTGAGCAGATGGGGCGGTGCTGGGGGGTGAACTGAGGGTGCTGGGGGGCAATGGAGTGGGGGGGGCTGAACTGATGGGATGATGATGATGATGGGGCTGAGGAATTGAAATGAAGGAGGCTGAATTGAGGGGGGTTGGGTGGGGACAGAACTGATGGGGAATTGGGGGACAGGATTAATTGCTGGGCAGGGCAGACATGGGGATGAGAGTTTCTGCAGCAGGGGCCAAAAATCACCTTATCCAGTACAGGTGGGAGAATGGGCCACGCTAATTGTCGCATGCACACACCCTGGGGATGGGCCGGGGGAGTTCAAACATCAGGAGACTGGCCTAAAAAACACAATATAATTTATTTTTTAAATGGTGTGATTTTGGGGCCAATCTCATGATTTTTGAACTCTTGAAAGTTGGCAGTACTGAACCACGGCCCTGGGCAGGGAGTGCTGAGATGATCTGGCCGGGGAGGGGAGAAAAAAAAGTTCCATCAGTGATCACTTTCTTGCAGCTCTTAACCCCTCTCCCCGATTTTGTCCCTCTCCTTCCCTGGCCTACCACTTCACTCTGACATGACCCAGCCTGCCTCTGGGCCTCTCCCTTTATAGCCGGGAGCAGAGATCTCACTGAGCATGTTCAGATCACTCCAGCAGGCTCAGTAACAGAGCAAAGTTGCCAGCTGGGGAAAGCAGGAAGTGTTTGTCATACTGCTCAATATTGCGCTGGTAAGTAACTCTACACTGCAGAAATCCAGAGTTAAGGAGGCGAGAAACTCCCAAGGGGCTGTGGTGAGGGTGAACCCTGCTCCACAAGGAAACATTGGACTGCAAAGTAATCCAGGGTAAAGTCATCCCAAAACTTAGCCACGAGGCCTGTTCCAGCTAGCCTTTCTGCTGCCCTTGATTGTTTCCCTTCTCTTGCCTGAGACAGTTTGTCAAAGAATCAGTAAAAACCCATTTCGGACTCCGCTCAAACCTGATCTGGGTGAGGGCTGATGATTTGAAATCAATCCCCTGAAGGGTTACAGTGAGTCCCCGTACCCCCGCGTAGGGTGACCAGACAGCAAGTGTGAAAAATTGGGATGGGGGTGGGGGGTAATAGGAGCCTATGTAAGAAAAAGACCCAAAAATCGGGACTGTCCCTATAAAATTGGGACATCTGGTCACCCTACCCCCGTGCCATAAAAGGAGTTTTCCTTTTCCTGACACTAGCATGTGATTCCTGAATATTTCCTCCCCTTCCCACTGTAGCATTTGGCCCCACTCATTGCAATAGAGGGGATTTCCAACTACCCATCAAAAGGCACTGGATTTAAACGGAGCATTAAACACAAATCCCCTTGATTCATTGTCTCTCTAAGCTGGGAATGCCCCAAGGATCCTGGAACTGCTGAGACATTTCTCCCAGACACGTGAGGTAGGAGAAAGATTTTTTCTTTCTTTCTTTTTTTAGTCCTTCGATCCGTCTTTCAGTTTGTGAGTCTTTCCTGTGTGTGCATGTCAGGCCCGAGCGCTGTTGCTAGGGTGCTGGGATCTCTTGTTTGTACTCTAGATGAGAATCCAGGCATCACGTGGAGAACCCGTACTAAGTACTCCACAAAACTGAGGGCCCAGATGTGGTGCTTCAGGGAGGGGAAGAGGCTCTGCTGCAGGAACTCTGCTCCCCACGCCCTAGCATGGTGGTAGGGGTCTCCAGTACCACCAACCATTGCGTGAGAGCTTCAGCCATTAACTGTAGTCCAGTGCCTGGGGAAGAAGTTGCCACAGGGGGGCTGCTCTGGGGTCCTAGACCCTGGCCACACAATGAAAATTAATTTCACCTCCCCAAAGTTTGCCCATTTACTTGAGATTCACGCTCACTGGGCATCTTTGTATCATTCTTGCTAGCGGATGATTAATATTCGTGCCCCTCTCTGGGAAATTGCGAGGATTCATTAGAGTTCATTATGGACTTTTAACCTTAGAGTCATAGGACTGGAAGGGACCTCGAGAGGTCATCTAGTCCAGTTCCCTGCACTCAAGGCAGGACCAAGCATTATCAGACCATCCCTGACGGGTGTTTGTCCAACTCTTCAAAATCGCCTTTATTTTTCTGGAACTGTTGGTCCTGGCTCCATCGCTAGGGTTGAGTTCTGAAATGTAGTAAATGAAGGTGAAAGTTCCTCTTTTCTTTCTAAGTACAGGTCCTTTCAGTGAGAAACTTCACCTGCATATTTTAACGCCCTTCACATTTTAGGTGCCGTTTTGTGGGTAGTGTTTGAAATTGGGCACTTGTTGAAATTCTGATGTGATGGTCTCATTTTTTTTTTGGTTGGCTAGTATTTTTAAAAGAGCATTGTATACCCACAGAAAAACTGGCAGACTGGTATTTTGGGTAGATCTGGTATATTGGAAAAGGTTCAGAAAAGGGCAACAAAAATGATTAGGGGTATGGAACGGCTTCCGTATGAGGAGAGATTAATAAGACTGGGACTTTTCAGCTTGGAAAAGAGACAGCTAAGGGGAGATATGATTGAGGTCTATAAAATGACTGGTGTAGAGAA